GGAAAAGAAAATGGAAACTACTTGGCATGTTTTGGTGTACCATTGCTTTGCGAAAGCAGTTCACATACCTGTACTTTGCTTATTTGCATATGCAGTATGGGCACCTGGACCCTATCGGCTAAGGAAAAGCTGGCTGCGGACAATGACCGCCTGAGAAACCAGCTAGCTGGCAAGCAGGATGAGCACCTTCACGGCACTAGTTTATTTGGAGTCCAGGATTTAGGGCGTTATTGTTGCTTAGCTGGAAAAAAGAAGTAATAATGGGTTCAGGGACAACCACAAGGGGTTATATAGGGATAGGGACTACTATAGGGATCAATTTCTGCATTCCCTCCCAATATGGCGTGCTCATTATCAATCTGGTGGGTAGTCTTATACACAGCACGCAGTGCATTGAGACTCGTCATAGTATGTATACTGGGGCTTGGGGGGGGGCATATTTTGGGTCCTATCCAGGTCAAATCTAGCTAGAGCTGAACATCTTGTTATTACTTTCACTTACTGTTACATTCACTATCATTATTGTTGCTATTGTTAGTTTTATGATCCCTAAACCCTAAACCCTAAACATTCACTATGATTATTGTTGCTATTGTTAGTTTTATGATCCTACGACGTATTCCAGCCATAAACCTCCAAGTAAGCACAACCACCTGCAGGTTTACCCTGCCTGGCTACAGTTCGACAGGGCTGAAAGTGGCTGGGACAGCACGTTTTGCTACCTGGAGGGTCGAGGAGCTTAACACAAGGAAATAGGATGAATGAGGTCGTCAATGCTTTTGATTATGATTTTCTGTGAGGGTCATGATTGATTTCTATGTAACCCGCAATAGGAAACCATGATTACCTTTAACCCTGAGCCGTATCATCCGTGGGGTGCCCAGGAGTTCATCTATTGACAAGTCCTCTAGCGCTCCTGAGCCTGTTTGCTCAATCTAAAGCTTGCCGCCCCCCGCACCCTAGAAGGCACCTTCTTATATGAGCTATAGTCTAAATTCCTTAAAGGGGATTATATAGGGGACTACCATAGGGAAGCTTTGGGGGGATACTAGGAGTCTATGGCTCATATGGTAGTCCAAGTTTACTGGAGAGCATGTTTAGTACCAGGGAAGGGGTGTTCCATGTTTAGCCCTAAACCCTCAACCCTAAACCCAAGGGATTTGAAGTTCCTGCGATCAGAGTGCCGAGCTGGCAGGAATCCTGTTTCGTTTTGTCGGTTTCTTTGGATTTCGTTTTTGGGGCTTGGTTTTCAAAGTTTGGGCTTAGAGCTTAGGGCTTAAAGTTAGGTCGTTAGGGTTAAGGATTTGAAATTTGGTGTTCAGGGTGTAGCATGTAGATTTTGAGGTTGAGGGTTTCGGATTTAGAGTTTGGGGTCTATCGCTCCGGATTTGGACCCTAGGGTTCCCAGTAGGGCTCACGCGTTACAGCTTGGTCCCAAGGAGCACGTGCACCATGCGGCTGTACGGTCAGTGCATCTTCCCGGATCTCCGCTTTCTCCACAGGAAGCGCCTCTCGACTTTACCCCCGCTTGGAGGATCTCTTGACTTAGTAAGTCTACTTATTAGTACATTGGGTCACAGGGCTTTTAATAGGGGTTGTTAGGGATATCAGGTAGACTTACAAAGTCCAAAGATCATCCAAGTGCAGGTTGGGGGGTGAAGTTTATAGGGTTTAGGGAAGGGAGTTGGGCACTGAAGAGCTCTAATAATTCCCAAAAGTATTTGATGTTTATTTGATGTTCCCTATAGTTATGCAAGGGATCTTGGTACTGTTCGCGGCTTGACTCTTCGGGATTGGCCTTAGGACATCTGGGTTACAGATTACTTGGAGGTTCAGGGGGATTTGGTAAGTAGACCTATAAGGCCTTTACCATATGGCAACCCAAGCTATCCCCATTATCAACCTACTTACGAAGTTCCTCTGACCCTCCAAGTATACTGGGACCTTGGGGCCGTCAACAGGCTTTAGACTGGGTTGCTGTTAAGGAACTTACATTAAGTTACGGTTTAGGGTTAGGGTTCTGAGGTTCAGAGTGGGTCTTGGGATCAGTGGGTTTGCCGTGTAGGGTCTAATTACAATCGCCTGCGCATTGCAGAAATCAGATTTCGGGGCCCTCATTTATGCTGCCCTAAGAGAGTAGTAAGCAGGAACTCCAACCTTCAACCCCTAAAACTTAGACCCTAATAGTTGAGGTTCTAACCTTCCCCTGAGCTTCGTAGTTTTGGGTTCAGGGTTTGGGGCCTAGAGGTGGAAGGCACTCCCCAAAACTAGCATGGCGCTTTCCGTGGAGTTTCCGGAAATCTGGCATCCCATTCTGGCGGTCCATATGTTTTGAGAAGTTGACGACTTTTGAGGGGTAGATGAGGAGGAACCCAGAGTTTGGAATATCAACTTGGCCGGTCTTTTTCAAAGGACAGTAGTTTTTGCAGGGCCCTTTTCTGGGGTCCCCTGTTAGCTTAGGCGGATCTAGTGTAGAGTTTCGCATGTTTTTGCTCGCTTCCTTTTGATGCGGCTTCCAGTGACCTTGTCCACGGGCGGCGCGACTTCGTTGCGCCATCAGTGGCTGGATGTAGGCATGGGCCAGCTTCAAGACACCAACTGAAGAGAAGAAAGTGTGCAAGAAAGCGTCAGTGGAGGCAAGAAGCTGCTTTGCAGCTTGAAACATTCTAGAGGCATTTGTCCACCTCTATGCAGCACTTGCAGGTGGCTGAAGTGATTGTGTTCTCTGTTGGAACCCAAGGTGGTCTGATGCGATGAGCGATTTCGAGTCTCCCATTGACAACCTGCAGTCGATCCACGGCAGGCCAGCTTAGTTGGGATGATGGCCAGGAAAGCTGTTCATTGCTAGTGCCATGACTTTTGTTTTGTTTTGCATGTGTTGGTTACGAAGGCTAGCAAGTTGCAAATTGGGAAGTTCAGCTTCCCAAAGGCCCAGCTACCGGTTTGCAATGCCTCTTGCTGCAACTGCTGCGGCTGCCCCTGCTATTGCAACCACAACCCTGCCGCCGCTGTCCCCGCCACTGCCAACCACCGCCGCTGCGACAGATGCCGCCGCTAAAATCTAAAACTAATTGATACTGCGATGAGCACGACAGCTCTCCACAGCTCAGCTGTAGTATTCATAACGCAAGTAGCCTGGGCAGCATTTGAGCTATGGTCTAAACTCCTTAAAGGGGTTATATAGGGGATTACACCGGGGAGTACTAGAGGGCTTACTAAGAGGTGTACTAGGAGTTTAGATTATGGCTCGTTTGGCCAATGATAAGAATTAGAATCATGCCCATAGCAGCGGGGATATTTCAGCTTGAATACCACAGAGGGCAAAACTGGCACAGAACTTCTCAAATACCTTCATAATAAGAGTAGTAACAATACTAGTAAGTAATAGTAGTAAGAGTAATAGTAGCAATACTCGTAAATATAGTACAATAGCAATAATAATAGTAGTAACAGTAGTACTAGTAATAGAAATAGTAGTAATAATAGCAATAATACTCATGATAATAGTGGCAGGAAGCACAAGACCAACTCCGATGCCGCGCGCTGAGCAGCTCAGTGTTGAGTGGCAGAAGGACGTGAGGTCTTCGAGCCAGGCTTTCGTTCAGTCATCCTCCTTCTTTCAACCCACCAACCCTCCCGAATACTCAATACCCCCAATTATAGAAGGATATAGAACGGCTCTCTATTTGCTACCACAGGGGTGGGGTTTCTGATTATAGGAAGAGGCAAACATTTGCTGCTGTGGTTTAAGATAATTTGCAGCTATTGGGTTTGATCGATGCAGCAACTGCGGAAACTTCTCTGTTGAAGCATGGCCGTGATATTGGTGTTTTTTGGGAGAAGTTGTGGCTGTGGTGGTGCTGATGTGACGGTGGTCGACTCAGCATGCAATGATGTGGGTAGTGTAGGGTTTAGGGTTTAGAAGTTCCAAAGTTCTTGGTCAAGCCAGAGCATGTGCTGATGAGGATGTGGTCCCCTTCAGCGGGAGCGTCCCAGACTCGGATTACACTTGGAGGGTCAGGGGGACTTAATAAGTAGGTTAGTAACCCTTATAACCCATATAGTAACCATACCTATCCCCAGTAGTAACCTACTTATTGAGTCCTCCTGACCCTCCAGGCAGCAATGCAGCTACTGCCGTGTTCATCCTTAGTTTAAATTGCTGGGATCGGCAGGGCATGAAGGAATGGATCCCAACAGTGGCCCATATGGGCTATAGTCTAAACTCCTTAAAGGGGGGTTATATAGGGGATTACATAGGGGACTACTATAGGGGTTATTAAGGGGGATACTTGGCGTTTAGACTATAGCCCATATCTTCATAATACTACTAACAATACTACTAACAATAGTAATACAAGTAACAGTGTTTGCTATAGTAATAACAATGGTAACAGTTGTTCTAACCCCTTAATAAGTAGCCGCTGAATGTCACTGCCTCATTCACTACTTACACCAGTAAGTGACAACAGAAAGCAGTTTAACCTTGGAAGGATGCCAAGATCCAGCACGGTGTGAGCGCGAAGACCATCAGTCACTCAACCGCCTGTGACTCCAAAGAGTTTAGGGTTGAAGGTTTAGGGTTTAGGGTGTCTTTCCCTTAGGTGCAGACTGCAGGACAGAAGAAGTTTCCAACCTCACTTTGGTTGAGATACATGAGGAATATAGTCCCAATTATCCCAACTAAAGTATGTTTTCTTGGGGCTCCGCAAGTGATAGCCAGATTATTGTTGCTAGGTCGCTCGTCGAGTAGTACCAGTTTGCAGCCTACAGGCCTTCGAACACTTGTGAAACATAAAGAGCAGTGTTCTATTTAGGATCCTACAGTCCCCAGTAAGATTGACATTTCAACCGCCAGTTCAGACACAACTCGAGAGAACTTGGCTTGAAAGACTGCCCGGCCGGATCTTCACCTCCGAAACTCATCGAAACTCAAAAGGTTTGTTCCTCCCTCTTGCTTTCCAACATACCACCTACGTAACCTCCACATTTCCTTTAAACCCTAAACCCTCAATCCTGAACCCTAAGCACTATAAACCCTAAGCCAAAACCTCAAACCTTGAACCCTGGGCCCAAACCCTGACCTGCAAACCTTGCCACTAAACCCTAACACCTTAAGCTTGCAGGTTGTTAGTAGGGAAATATGGGAATCTGTTATATAGGGACTATACAGGGATTATTCCCATATTCCCTACTAACAACCAGTAAGCAAGCCTTAAGGCCAAATTCTCTAAACCCTAAACCTTAAACTGAAAACCCTAAACTCTAAACCCTAAACCCTAAAGTACGTGCCAAATTCTGCCTCTGAGGCAAAGATGACACAGAACCGTCCTCGTGGAACTTGGCAAGCGATGATCAAGAAGACCCAGCTGCATGACAAGCGAGTTAGGGTTTAGGGTTTAGGGTTTAGGGTATGGGGTTTTAGAGTTTAGGGTTCAGGGTTTAGGGTGCAGGATATAGGGTTTAAGGTCCAGAGTTCAGACTATCGTGTTTAGGGGTTAGGGTGTAGGGCCGTGCAGGGTTTAGGGCTTCGTGTTTAGAATTGGCATGTGGGTTGCCATAAATGCTACAGCCACTGAAAAGAAACCCTGAAGTCTGAAAAGTCGCCATTGGGTATGGGTTTAGCTGTATGGCTTAGGGCTTGGTGAACATCTTGCGTTTCCAAAGATTTCTACTCCTTTAGCCATTCAATGTGCTGTAAGAATACTGGCAATTATGTGCCAGCTGTGAGACGACCGATGCTACTTGTCGAAATTCAGTCCCTGTAGTCATTGTGTCAGAAGTACTACCTAAAACCCCAAAGTAGATAGAGTAATTGCATGTTGGGCTATATTTAGGCGTCTTGGGCCATGATTTTTTCTAATTATTTTTGGGGTTCAGGTAATAACACGAATTGTAAGAATTGTCAAGCCTACGTGCCCTTCCAGTGCCATGTGCCTCAGGTTGCACGCGTGATAATGCTGGACGTCATCCCGGCAACGCGGCTTTAAATCGTAATCCGGCTCATGCTGCACATGCTGATGTTGGGGCATCTTTTTGAGGGGGAGCCACTCAGAACAACCAGGAGTTGGTTGTGTGAGTCCAGTCGCGGTTTAGGGTTTAGGGTTTTGACAGGCAGCTGCTTTTCGTCCAAAGGCTGTGCCTGCGACACTTGCTTGTGGCAGGCAGTTGTCATCATCATCAACGGCATTGTGGTAGGCCTCAGCGCAGACATTTGTCCGGACCATACCGCTTGGGCCTCAGCACAGAGACCTATGAGATGTTGCAGTTGAGAACCCCGCTTACCCTAGTGTGAGCCATCCTCCACAGCCTGATATTTAACTGCAAAGCCTCCGGCTCATGCCACTGAGCATGGCGACAATGAAGTCGTGAATGCACTGGAGTGAAGCCAGCCGAGCGATGGCAGGGCGTCCAGCCCCACGCTGGCCAACCAGCAAGAGCATCCTGGCGCCAATGGGCAGTGTTGCATGTTGGTCATCCAGCGCGCAGCACGGCAAACTGCTCGCAACAGGATCAACCGCAACCGTCCGTTCCTACAGAGTTGCGGGCCAGTGCTGCGTCGCCTCCTAGAGCAGACCTGTGAACTGGCGGCAGCATCGCCTCAACTGCCTCAAACCCGAACACGGCTTGTGTACGGCTTTGACACACCCTAAATAGGCTAAATCGTAGTTTCCATCTTTCTTCCATTATCCCAATATAACCCCTATGTAACCCCTATATAACCCCAATATAATCCCAATATAATCCCAACATAACCCCAATATAGCCCTCCGTTACAGTCAGCAACATGGTGAGCCTGAAGCGCGCGGATGCGTGCCCAGTCTTCTCATCGTCACAGGGACTTTAACGCCAACCCTAAGAATATAGTACCCTAAGGGTTCAGGGACCCAAATACTAGGGTCCCTTTAAAGGGGGTTATAGGGGCAGATATAGAGATATACGGGGACCATATAAGGGTCCAGGGACCCAAATAATAGGGCTTTAGGGCCCAAATACCATCAACATTATAGTATTTGGGCCCTCGAACCCTATTATTTGGGTCCTTGGACCCTTAGAGGTAATAACATGTTAGCAACGTAAGGACCCTGGTTGGTATGTTTTGATTGTATTCCCACTATATTCTTGGGGTTTCCGTGTCTGGGGTCCCCATTAAGGTCCCTTTATATTACTGGGATCATTACTGTTACTTCTACTAGTATTACTATATAGCCAGTGTTATTGTTACTATTACCAACATTTCTATTACGATTATTACTGCTAGTCCATTTAATCGTTGGTCTAAAATCTGCGACGTAGCCCCCGTAATTTTAGGCTTCAGGGATTTAGGTTTGAGGTTTTGTGTTTAGAGCTTAGAATTTAAAATCAAGCCTTGAGCGCCGACCATCCAACATGCCTAGCAGGCGGATATTCTCTATAGTAGCCCGTATACGGTAGTTTCCCCAAATAGGGGGACCTCAATATTGACACCAAAATGCTATAATCCTTATTATGAGGACCCCCAAAAAGGTACCCCTAATTTGTGGGAAATCCCCATACTGCGGATTAGTAGTGGGTTTAGGCTTTGGGTTTTAGGGTTGGGGGAGTGTTTAATAGGAGGGACATTCTGTAGACCCGAATCCTTAAACCCATTATTGATTATGAGGAAAAATGTCCGAATGTTGTGTTGCATCCCAACGTGCGATCAAATCCAGTTGACCTTGAGAATCCAGCTGGGGGTATAGGGTTTAAGTTTTGGTCCATATTCTTGTCAAATCTCGATGGGATCACGATCCTGATAGACAATTCGCTATGCTTCACAGGCCCTGAAGGAAGTTTTTGTTTGGAGCATACCAGTTGCTAGTTCCTGGTTCAAGCCCCAGACATATTATTCCCTATTAAGAGGGCCCTCCCCAAAAGGGACCACTGATGTTTTCAAAAGCCCCAGGCGCAAGGGTAAAACAAAATTTTCCGAAACCCTAAACCCTAAACCCCCCAAACCCTAAACCCCAAACCCTAAACCCTAAACCCTACAACCCACCCCCCCAAACCCTAAACCCTAAACCCCAAACCCTAAACCCTAAACCCCCCCAAACCCTAAACCCTAAACCAAGTAGTCCGAGTCTGTACCCTCAAGCCTTGACACCCGCTAAGGTAGGAATGTCTACAGAATTCCGTCATGAGTGCTATTTTATTTGGGGATACTATGGTACCCAATATAGAGTAAGATTATATCCTCCTTTTTGGGGTATAGTATTTTATATAAAGAATATTATCTTACTAGGTTCACACCAAAAAAAGTACTCTCATGGGGCCCACGCAGAAGCTCTGTAGTACCCCATTCGTCCCAAGGGTCCAAAAGGGGTGGCCCTAAACCCTACCTAAACCCCAAAAAGTATCTTAAATAATGGCCTTTAGGGTTGTTATTCAGGGTTTAGGGCCATGATTTTACACATTTTGGAGGTTTAGGTACACCCTAAACCCCTAAACACGAAAACCCAGACCTACGTGTGTAAGAACAAAGGGCCACAGAGGCTCTACTTGATGCCAAACCCTGGCATGGCCTGGAACCGATGTGGGGGAAAAAAGTCATGAACCTGTAACCTCCAAATCTCAAATCCTGCTTGGCAAAACCAGAGGTCTGGGTGGCCTTAGAGTTGTTCTTCACAACTTTCTTCACCTTGGAGGTGCTTGTCAAGGTGATGCTCGGCTGGCGGTTTCAGGTTTGTTCTAGGTTTTACGGTAGGCCTACTCCCTAAACCCTAGACCCTATAATCATCAGCATCCTTGTGCCCTGAGTTTTGGAAGAGGAAAGACTAGCGGGAATCATCAGCATTTCATGTTTCCAAGTGTTCGGCCCTTTCTGTTTCGGGATTAGAGTGTTTAGGGATTATAGGGTTTGGGACTTGGGGATTGGTGTTAGGATTGTGTCAGTCTCCCCCAACATGAGCAGCGCCTCAAAGCAATCAGGAGTCATCAGCCGCTGCCAGGCGAGTAGTTTTCATTTTGAACCCACACACCTCAAGTCCTCGCATTTGTGGAAGGGGTAAACCCTAAACGCTGAACCCTAAACCCCAAACCCTAATGCTTAGAACTGAACTGCTGTTCCATTGAATGCTGGGATATGGTTTTCCATGGATCCTAGCATCTGTGTGAAGGATTTAAGGTGCCAGTAACCAGGTGGCCGAGAACCCAGACCTACTGGTAGTGTGTAAGAACAAGGGGCCACAGAGGCTCTACTTGATGCCAAACCCTGGCATGGCCTGGAACCGATGTGGGGGAAAAAAAGTCATGAACCTGTAACCTCCTGCAGTCTCCTAATTAATCACTGTTTCATTTGCTAGGGTGTCGCAGCATGCCTAGCTAGAAACCCCAAAGCCCAAACTTTATACCCTAAGCCCAAACCCTAAACCCTAAACAGTAGTTTCCATTCTCTTTTCCATTTTATTAGTATAACCGCTATAGAACCCCTACATGAACCCCTAAACCTGAAAACTGAGGAAAGTCTTCTCACTCAGAACCTTCTTTTTGGGACCCGATTGGTATTGGTCCTGGTTCGACTGCTTCTGCGTGGCCCTGGCCTACCTGGAATTAGGCTCCTGGACCTGACACGGGGTTTAGGCTTTAGGGGTTCAGGGTATAGTGGCTAAGGGTTAAGGGTTTAAAGGTTTAGGGGTTTAGGGTTTGGGGATTTAGGAATAAAGGGCTTCGGAGTAGGCTGCGCGACTGACAACGACCTGACCCGGCCTCACCCCAAGTACGGGTTGACACAGAACATGGTCTCAGCACAAGCATATTTCAGGTTTAGTTTGTTTTAGGAAGTCTGTTTAGGGCTTTGCATTGGGTATCTTGGGCAGATTGGTGAGTGCATATCTGCAGTGTCCACCTGGATAGGCTGTGTAGATAAATGTGTGCTTGCTTAGTCAAAGCAGCGAGCCACATGGGGCTTTGAAAGGGAGGCCTGGCAAAGTCTTAGTTGGCACTTGCTCGCAACAAGGACCCCTCCACTGACCCTGATAATCATTGCGCAACATATGGTCCTCAAGATCACCCCCTCACCCGTGTTTTGTCAAAATCTCACATAGGGCCTTATGAAGATTTTGCTGCTCTTAGAGACCCTCGAGCCTCGAGGTGTGCTGGCTTTCTAAGTCGCTTGTATGAGAATAAATCTTCATAAGCGCTGTGCTCCTTTCTTGGGCTACTCAGCACTCATCAGCATGTTCGTCGTGACTCTCATGGTCCCTATAGGGGTCCGAGGACCCAACCAACAGGGTTTTAGAGCCCAGATACCATTATTGTTATTGTTGTTATTATAGTATTTGGGCCCTAAAGCCCTATTATTTGGGTCCTTGGACCCTTAGGGAGAATGATCCGATTTATTAAAAAGAATCTCATGGTCCTGACTTTGCTTGCCATCCTGGGAGACAGCAAAGTAAGCTCCCTTTTGTGAGTAGAATCGTTACTACCTAAACCCCAAAAGTAGGTAAAATAGTGGCCTTGAGGTCTGTTATCATGGGTTCAGGGCCATTATTTTACATATTTTTGGGGTTTAGGTACTATCAATATCAGAGCACCTCTGAATGTCCCCTCTGTTCTTGTCTAGTTACCCCCTTGCCCTCCCTAAACAGCACCACGCCTAACAATGTAAAGCGGCGGGGCCCGTACATCATTTCTCGAATATTTGTTTCGGGCCCGGAGACGTGGGAATTAGACAGCCAGGCCCCTCGATTTTATATTTTTTGCGCTGTTGGAGACTTTCCAGATCTGCTATACCACAATGGAAGAACTTATCTGCTGTGTGAGGTCTTTGTGCATGCTCCTTGTTTCCAGCAAATTGTGAGTGCCTGTGAGTGCAAGCAGCGTGCAAGCAACGTGCCAGCAGAGCAAGATAAGAGAAAGAACAAGTTTGAGACATCCAGCTCAAATTTTAATGGAATATTCACTGGGGGGGGTAAGCAACCTTGATTTTACATTTTTTTGGGGCCTGTAAATGTAAAACAGAGGGGGGCCCATGCAAAAGTGAGTCAGGCGACGGGATCCCTAAACCTTATCGTTGCAGTCCTTCTTGTTATATGGGTATTGGTCTAAATTCCTTATAATACGGGGTCCTATATTTGGGTTTCCATTATAATACGGGGCCCTATATAGATTTCCCCCATTTTGGGAACAGTAATTTAGGGAAACTACCATATAGTAATCTGCATAATCCTTGCTTATGCCAGGATCTGGCCTGCAGCTAGAACAATTAACTAAGACCTCAGTAGCCAGGACTGCAAACAACTGCAGCTACAAAATACAGTTGCAACAACAGAAATGGCCACATTGCTGGCAACAACAGCAGCAGTAGCAGGAAAGATAACGCACCACACATCACAACACACCTGGACTCCGAAACACCTAGACTCCCTGAGCCCTAAACCCAAGGCGCCTAGACCAACAATCCTAAATGCTGATCCCTAGACGCTTAATGCCCAGGCATTTCGCAAGATGTTCCCTACCTACTCCCTACACAATCCCTTGTGCTCACTACATATTCCTGGGGTACCTTCAAGCTACCCATCCCTGTTCTATACCCAAAACCATAAGAACTACCTGGCTTTGAACTCCATGGTGTATCCCTATACAAGCACTATACTGGCCAGATCATGGCGATCGCACCCCAAATGCAGGTGTAAATAGAAACTAGCCCCAAAGTGGCTTACGCTCGGATTCCGAAACTAGTCCCTGTACTAAGCCTATGTATCACTATAACGAACCTTCTAGAACCCTTGTAAAGGGATCCGAAGGTTCCAAAATCCTAGACATAAACCCTAAACCCCAAACCCCAAACCCTAAACCCCAAACCCTAAACCCCAAAAAAACTTGAGAACCCCGGTCCCCAAACCCTAAACCTTAAACCCTTAAGGCTAAAGCCCTAAGGGTCCAGGGACCCAAATAATGGGGTTTTAGGCCCAAATACCATCAATATTATAGTACTTGGATCCCTGGACCCTTAGGGAAGCCCTTTCTCCAGCCTTCGACTGGAGTCCACCAAGGGTTTCGGGCTTGCTGAGGCTCAAGCTTGGAGTTTAGGGTTTAGGGGGTTAGGGCTTAGAGTTTAGGGTTTAGGGGCTTACGGTTTAGGATTTAGGGTTTAGGATTTAGTTTAAGGTGTTTGGGGTTTAGGGTTGAAGGGGTTTGGGGCTTCGGGTTTAGGGATGGAACTATAGCATAGTTTACCCCAAACACATCTCTGATTTGTGCCCTTAGGTTCCAATGCCTACCTAGCTTTGGAAACCATGAAGTGCATGATATACCCTTGCATCGCCCCTGTAACTTGCTATGACCAATAGACCTGTTGAAAAGGAGCCCATTAGGGTAATTTGCTTTAGGTTCCTGAATAGCAAGCCAGCCAAGCCCTAAACCCAAATCCCTAAACCCTAAACCCAAAGCCCTTAAAAAACCTAAGCCCTACACCCCAAACCTGAGGCTTGAATCTGCCAACGTCGGGCCTCGGTACTTTGGCCTGTCCCGAAGTACTGCCCGACGACAGTGGCGGCTCGCTTGGCTTCCTGTGACTGGGCTGAACCAACCGGGCATCAGGGTTTAGGGCTTAGGGTTTAGGGTCAGGGGTTACGATGTAGGGATCAAGGTTTTGTGCAGTTTTTAGGGTTTGCAGTCTTTAGGGCCTTGGAGTTTTAGGGTTTAGGGTTGGAAGTGGGTGGAGTTTCTTAAAAAGCTGGGGGGCGCCAAGGGACCCCCAGGATCTGTAGGGAGCATTAAGGGAAGTTGGGCGTGCTTATTGAGGATTTCATGGGGGCTATTTTGGGATGATGTTGAGAAAAGTCTGGGCAGTAGGGGTGCTCTTGCTGGGTTCTTAAGAGAAGAACAAATGATTCTGGGGTTGAGTTTGTATATTTATACTTGGAGGCTCCAGGGACTTAGTAAGTGGGTCATACATGGGTTACGAGTAGGCCAACCCCGATTCTGGAATTTATAAGACCATTTACCACCTACCTACGAGGTTACCAAGTCCCCGGAGCCTGTAAGAACATGGCCCAATGCAATCCCAGTTTTCATTTCATGTCCCATGTTCTTTTCCAGTTGATACTCTATGATTGGTAAAGTGGGCCCATTGATTTCTGCCGAGAAGCCAGATTCCAGGAGTTCTCCGGGGCCTATATCACCCAAACTGCCGTTCGGTCCATTTCCACGTCCGCTCGATTCTCCACCCCTCTGATCATATAACTTTGCATATCCCTATGTGCCTAGATCTCCCTGTGTACCTATTAAAGTTTACCTAGGCTCTCCATGAAAGCTGCTCCAAGGAAGACATTGAAATTGGCACGCCTCGGACGCATTGCCTGATGCCTCAGATTCATGAACATGCGCTGCGCATGCTTTGGAAAGCGTTCTAGGAGTATCCTAGGACAATCCCCATTTGTGGTCAGGTTCGTTTACTCAAGTTCAAGATCTTCATAGAGCTGAAGATGATGAAGCCCGCCAGACAATTACGGCGCACGCGGGTGTACCACAAAATGTGATGGCATAGGCTTGTACAAGGATGGCGTATCCCTGAACCATAGCCCCTAAACAGTATCCTTTATTTTGTGTTCGGGAATTGGCGGATGGGAAGATGAGGAGGATGTGTGAAGGTCATGCTTTTACCAACACACCTTCAGCGCAGGACAGTCCTGTGCAGATGCATATATGTGTCAAGGTGCAGTTCTTCTGCGTCAAGCAGCGTGTAGGTTGTCTAGATACACCACCCTGAGCCCTGAGAACCCTAAGCCTTAAAACCCTGAACCCTAAACTCCCCTAACAATCGCTGTGAGCGCAACCTGTCCCATGTCTTGGCCTTCATCTAAGGATCCAAGGTGTTTTCACAGGACACGGGTTGGCAAAGCCAACTGCTTGTTCCATGGACTGATGTGTCAACCATCAAAACTGCCAGGACTTCGAGTGCTTCTGTGGGCCATCGTGCTTCTCTCCCTTTGCAACCTGACTCTTCTCAACATTTGCGCATGATGCATGTAGAAGGCCGAATAGTCACGAATACAATTTCCTTACTTTCCGTATATTACTACAGTACTTGTCATATGCCCGGCCCGAACACCTTATTCTGATTAGTTCGGCCCCAACATGTCATGATCTTCAGCTGATTGTGCCGAGCAGCTGGCTTGCCGGTTGATGACTGAGGCATCTACTTGCTGGGAGTCACTTGCAGAACGCTCTACGCAGAATTCGCTTCTTGATTGAAGTCATTCGCAGTGGGGGCAGCGCAAGATATGCCATAAACCCTATAAACTTACTGGTGTTTAAGGAGGGGGGAGTGGAGGGAGGGGACTATATCATGATCTTGATGTAATCATCTAGAGCACTCCATATATTCACTCTTCCGAAGTCCCCCTGAAGCCCCAGAGTTTAGGATTTAGGGCTTAGTTTCTTGCGAACAGACATGGCCTGACAAGGTTGAGTTCAAAGATGTGCGGCGTCCTCAGTCAGAAACACTTGGGATTCTGGTCCCAGGCTCAGGGCTTAGGGGAATGTTTTGCTATGAATATGCAGGGTATCTTGTAGTGCAATATATTACAACTATGAAGAGGACCAGGATGACATGAGCTATAGTCTAAACTCGGGTCGATTGTGGAAAGCTGCTTCTGCTAGTGGCAAGGCTAAAACACGACTGCGCCCACAACCCAGTAAGTACCCAACGGCTACATGGAGGGTCAGGGGAATCGATAAGTAGTTTGTAACCCTTTTCACCCATATAGTAACCATACTTATCCCCATTATTAACCTACTTATCAAGTGCCTCTGACTCTCCAAGTACTCGTCCTCATCCACAAGGCCATCTGCAATGTTTACGGTCTTCCGCTGCTTCACGGACGGATGCGCATCATACGATGGCAGACCACTGCAGCTGGGTCATGGTTGGGTTAGGCATTTTTGGGCTGGCGGTCTAGAGTTAGGGGTTTGGCGTTCAGGGTTTTTCTAGGAGGGCCCCCCATGTTTCCAGTGCACGTCTTGGGTCGCTTGTGTCTCCCGATCTTCTCCGAAGCTGCCATGTCTTCCAAGTTTGTACAAATACTTTAAGCCACACAAGACACAGCTGTCAGCCCTGCTTTGATCCAACCCCAGGCAAGAAATCATTCGACGCACGGCTTCAGCTATTGCTTTTGTCGTGTGAAGCTCGCGAACTTGGGTGCGTGTAAGGGGTGGTTCGGAGTTTGAGGCTCCAGTTTTCAAGAGGACTCAATGACTTTCATAGTTGACATTCATGGCGGGTTTAGGGTAGTCCAGATCATGGTTTAGGGTTTGGGACGCTAAGCCCTAAAGATTTGGTGCGATATGCCGGCTGGGCTCAATGACTCTTGGGCTCCTCCGACGATAAGGGGACTATAATGGGACTCCAAACAGGGAACCCCAGGAAACTAGTAGGAATTTCATTGGAATATGAACCATTGTCTAGACTCTTTGTATCCCCCTTAATAGCCGCTATTGTAATCCCCTATAGCATCCTCTATATAACCCCCCTTAAGGAGTTTAGACTATAGCTCATATACCAGCCTGGGTCCTAATATTCTACTATAATCTTGGGGTTTCCTGTTTGGGTGTTCCGATTACAGTCCCTTTAGAAGATCGGCCTAAGCTCCATGCGCTCTCCAGAGCCTACACAGCTAAAGGTTCAGGGAGTGGGGTTAAGGTTGAAAGTGCTTCCAAGTGTAGACCCCGATGTATTCTGCACATTGGCTATAGGAACTACTACAAACGGGCTCTTAATTTTTTGAAAACACCAACATTTGGCACTGGCTCCGATGCTAAGGCACATGGGGTTGTCACTTGGGCGTGCGTGCAGAATTGGATCGCGATGTACGTGTCAAGATTTTTGGATCCTTTACATAGGAGCTGCCCCTAAACCCTAAATCCTAAACCCTAAACTGCCTGCAAGGGAAAGTCGTTTTCGCAGAGAGCCATGTCTCTGGATGAGAGCCATAAAAGACAGCCCTCTCGCAGGATTGTAATTTGGTGCACTTCTGGAAACTAACATGGAAACCCAAAGGGGCCCTATAAAGGCTACAGTCCCTCTAAAATGGGGCTATATGGGTTTCCATGTTAGTTTGGGGGAGTGTATCCATAGTACACCCTCCCCGAAACCAGGGCTAAAGAGACCCCAAGAAATCGGCCTCAGGTGGGGTCTAAAAGGGAGTAGAAGGTGAGTGCTGGTAGTATAGGATCTCATAGTTCATCGTCACGTCAATGTGCGCGGCCGCGTTGCCTAAGGAAATCGATATGGTGGGCTTTGGATGATTGGCTACACCTTAGTGTTGCTGGTTTGCACCTGATGATTCGGATTCCCTCCGTTGATATAAAATATGCCCACCCGCAAATATGCAAAATGCCTCATTTTCTATTGCCGTGTTGGCGGGTACTTGACGTGCGGGAGGGGGGGGGGAAGGGGGATGCGTCACCCTGAGGAAAATGGCGTGATACTTGGCGAACTCTTGCGCACAGGTGCATACGCTGTACTTGAACAGGTTTGCGAGATGCGGAGTTCTGCGTGTTGATAGACATAAGAATATACGGGTAAATGGAAAAGACAACGGAAACTACAGTTCTAGGTGTGTGTATACATATATATACATCATGTACACCCCTGATTAATAACAATCACCCCTCCTTTTAAGGGCCTTAATCTTAGGATCCCCATTATAATCCCTATTAAGGGGAGGGGTTTAGGAATATTTGATCTGGTGTATATACACAGGAATATCGGACAGGGATACTATTGCCTCTAATCGGAAGCAAGAGCCTATCTTCATCTTATTAAGGAGCACATAACCTTGCTTTCTTCAACCACCCAAAGAATCAAAAAGCTCAAAGGTGGGATGAAGGAAGGTGGGGTATAGGAAATAAGCCCCAGTATAATCGAGTATATACTAGGGGTCCTTTAACCCACCTACCTTCATCCCACCATTTGAGCCCCCTGAAAGAAACAACCCTCAGGTTTCTTTTTATCACCATTGGCATCTTCAATTTGCCCATCGCTCAGCAAGAGACTCGCTTTGTGGCACACCTGGGCGATCGATGCAGAGCTACTCTCACGGTCGCTTTAGTGCCGCATGGTAGGTTGTCAGAATTGTGGTCCCGTTTAATGTCCCTGATAGAATACATCCCCTAGTATTTAAGGTACCCACAGACGGACCACAATTTGGACACCCTCCCCACATGATGCTTCAGTGCTCAACGTAGAGCACTATGTGGTTCCCGAGGATCATGGCGGTATTTATCGACAATGTCAATGACGGCAGCGCAACTTGGCTTGATCAAACATATGCAAGTCCTTGTGTGGGAGTCCCCACAATCAGGATTAAAAAAGGTTTCCCAAAGCCTTACCAGATCTGTGCTGAGGTAGAAGTTTCCCAAAAAACTCCTACTGTGCTGGAACTCCGCCCAACCTTTTACAATCCCCAAATATCCTCAGGGTCCAGGAGGTCCGTCTAATTGCAGAAGCCCCCGGCCTTGAACCCTATACTCCCATATGCTATCTATCTGTATGTATGTAGGCATGCATGCATATTCAACCTTCAGTATACAGCTGTTTTTTTTCCATGTACACATGTACATATGCATATTTGCACTTAATATCGAAGTATGCGCACATTTGGTGAAGCCCTAAACCCTAAACCCTAAACCCTAAACCCTAGGTCAAGAAGAAGCAGTACAACTTGGGAATATCCGCGGAGAAGACGGAGCTTGAGTTGAGTGAGACCGTCCAGACCATGTGCGTCAAGTCTCTTGTCTGTCCGGTGGGTTTCCCCAAATTAGGGGGTCCCCATTATATTGAAGTTTATAGTAGTTAGGGCCCTCTATTGGGGTCCCCCTATTTAGGTAATCTTGAATCCTGTTGTTTCGGGTTTAGGGTTTACGTTTCAATGCTTAGGACGCCCTAAGCCCTAAACCCTTGAGGGTTTAGGCCAGCTCAATCTTGATCTTACATCTTGTTGTTTGGGGTTTGGGATTGTTAGTCTCTTACCTTGAGAAGGCCTCGTGGGACTGCAGCCCCGCTTAGGAAACCTTTGGGAAGCCTAAACCCTACACCCTCAACTCTAACTTACCTGTAGAGCGGGTGATCTTAAGCCTTTGAGGGCTTAGGGGTTCTCGTGGATCCGTTTGGTTTCAAAAAAATGCAGTCCCGAAGATGGTTTGGGTACCCAGAAGGTTTTAGGATTTAGGGGTTACGTAGGGTTGTTGCGACAACTTCCAAGGCCTTGGGCGCTTGATGAATGGATGAAAGAGTAGTCCCTATACAACACCAAAACATACAGTAGTCCCATGGTCTTTCCCTGAACCTTGAAACATCCCGATCCCTGAGCCTTAAACCCTACACACCAAACCCTCAACCCTAAACCCCCTATGTATGTAGACACAGATAACACATATTTCTTGGCATCCTCACCATAACATCTCGGACAGCATAGGTCTGGTGTGATTCCGGAGCCGGGCGAGGACGGACCCTAAAACCCTAAATCCTAAACCCTGAACCCTTAACCGTAAAAACCTCAATCCTAAACCCCTAAATCCTAAACCCTGAACCCTAAACCGTAAAAACTCAATCCTAAACTCCTAAACCCCTAAATCCTAAACCCTAGATCCTACAACCCTAAACCCTAAGCCAGTGTAGGTTTCAGCCCTTAGAGCTTTGGATGCAGGGTTTAGGCGTTAGGGCTTAGGCGTTCTAGGGCTTAGAGTGTAGGAGTGTAGGGTTTAGGGCGTAGGGTTTAGGGCTGAGGGCTTAGGGTTTGGGGTTTAGGGTTCAGGGTTTAGGAAGTTTAGGGTGTACGGTTTTGGGGCTTAGCTGTAGGTCTGGGGTTGGTTGTGCAGTTTAGGTTCGCTCCGAAAACCCCATCACGTTTGCAGAAGACAAGATCATGGGTTTCGGGGTTCAGCGTGTGTGTGTGTGCGCGCGCGTGAGTGTGATGTTTTGCAGGCACCCGAACATGAACCACTCTTTTCATGAACTTCGAGATGCGCAGAGGGTCTCCGCAAAGTGTAAAGGCCCCCTCTTTTTGGGTTCCTCGTCTGTGGGATTATAGTTTCTTGGGGTTTAGTTTTTGCCCCTCCCCCGTGTTTGGGTTAAGGGGTTTGGTTGTCATGTGTCCCATAGTCTAAACTCCTCAAAGGGGGGTTATATAGGGGAGTATTGTCGGGCTTATTAAGGGGGAAACTAGGAGTCTAGACCATAGCTTATGTGCTGCTTGTGCCAGCTAACGCGACTCTGCAGGACGATTCTGATGACGAGCAGGGGACTGCCTTGATACGGAAGAGCACAGATGGAATGCAACATGGGCATGATTAGTGCTGTTCCTACACCTGTTTTCCGAAATCGCTGCAGTTCGCAAAATGACCAGCGCTTCCATCTACTAGTATATAATGACAATGTCCCACCAACACTACGTACTTCCGCGCTCGAGATGCCATGCAGCGTCAGGGAAATTTTCATCTCCTGAGGCCCCGCAGTAGCCTGGGAAACCAGAAACTTTCAACTCCAACCTGTGAAAGTTCGTCTAAAGTGAACTACAGTTTTTCCAGATGTCGACTCCCTGTTCTTGAAGCTCCTTTGCTGCAGTTTCCTGCAATACCAGGTCCTGTGGAAAAGTGGTTGTTATTAGCGAGTGTGGACATTGATACAGGGAAGGGCTTTCGTTTTTCGATCAGCCCAGTGTAAAACAAATGGACACCTCTGTGCGACATCAGGCAGGAGTATGAGAATCGCACGAACCGGACCCTTGACTGATCTTAGTGGCTCTTGAAGCTCGCAGCACCAAAGAAACTATGATGCAAGCAGCGTTCCTGCAAGTACTTGCGAGAGTGATGGTAAGACAACGAGGATCAAGAGGAGAATGCGACGTGTCTTGGCTCACCGCATTTTCATCTGTGCTTTAGACTTTCTAGTTCATGGTACAGTTATCATCGCTCAAGCAGTCAGTTAATGGTAATGTACTTCTTGCCCCTGTATGTGCCCTAGCAAGAAGTACATATTCATAGTGTAGAGGTCCTAGATGTTCCATGTAAACTTTGCGTAGGTTACCTCAAGTAGGCTTCAAGATGATATGAGGAAGTCTTCCTCAACAGCAGCCCAGATTCTGGGAAACAACCCTAAACCCCTAAACACCCCTAAGCCCTTTTTGGAGTGTTTGGTGGTACGGGCCAGCTCCATGGGACTATGTCGCAAGACATTTCCGTTACCTCCGGGCGGCGGAGAAAAGGTCCGATAAAAAAAAAAAACACCCCTAAGCCCTTAACCCTAAACCCCTGAAACCTTAAACTCTAAACCCTAAACCCTAAACCCAAGGGTCCAAGGACCCAAATAATAGGGTTTTAGGGCCCAAATACTATAATACCATTGGTATTCGCGCCCTAAAACCCTATTATTTGGGTCCTTGTACCCTTAGGGAAATAGTCTAAACCCTAAACCCTAAACCTTAAACTCTAAACCCTAAACCCCATAAACCCTAAACCCCATAAATCCTAAACCCTAAACCCAAATGGTACACCTAGCCCCTCGAGGCATGGGATGCATCATCACGAAGAAGACCTTTAACAAATGGCTGCTGCAGTCCGGAGACTGGATGACTGTTTAGGGGTTATATAGAGGTTATATACGGGTTATATGGGGCTATATAAGGGTTATATAGAGGTTATATAAGGGTTATATGGAGGTTATATAAGGGTTGTATGGCGATTACATACTGTAGGGTTTAGGGTTTAGGGATTTCCCAAAATTAGGGGTACCTTTTGGGGTCCCTGTAATACGGACTATAGTATATTGGGGGTCTATATTGGGGTCCCCTATTTTGGGAAACTACCACTTCTAGTAACTTAGACACGTCATCGACCCTCTATATATACATACACCCTAAATAGTAGACCGTATACCCCTGTTTGAGGGTACAAGGAGGGTCCTGGAAGCTGCCACAATGTGGCTGCGAATCAAAAAACACTGGGATTGTAAGGGGCTTGGGTGGCCATTCCGCGACATAGGTTTGCAACAGAATCTCTTGTTGCAACAAAGAGCAGCTTTGTGGCAAAGTTCTTTTGCAGGGCATACCTGCGCCAAGCATTCGCGACAAATGTATGTAA